CCACTTGAGTACCAAAACATTTTAGAAACATTCACTACAAGTGATATGCCACATCGGATTTTCGGCACTTGGGTGAACATATTTAAAAAAATAAAATTGGCACTTAAGTAATCGATTAAAAATATGACACTCAAGTGAACATTGTTTTAAAGTTATGACATTTAACTTGTCGAAAAAAAAGTTGTGGCGCTCAAATAAGCGCTATACAAAAGTTTTGGCACATGTGATGTCCTTATCCCATTTGTAAGCATCCATTTATGTAGGAGAAGTATTGGCAAGTTGTTGAGCAATTTAGACATCTGACCAAATGAAATCTTTAAGCGATTTCAATGTATTTGGACTCTTGGATGAGGTGGGCCTCGTTGGTGCATGTATTGGATAAGGCTCCACCCACAGAGTAGATGAGCTTCGCGTCCAAGATTAGTCAGAGTTAGTGACACTATGTTTTGAACATGCGATATGCTGAACTCAAATTAAACACTTAATCACTCAATCAATCCCTTGGATGTTGTGTTAAGGAAGTTTGACACCTTTATTAATGTATTCTTTGTTAGACCCCTATTTGGCGCGAGGATTTTAGTGACGCGACATGAATTGGCAAGATCAACGGTGGCAAATAGTAAAAGATAGATGCACTTAGGAATGGTCGAGAATTAAAATATTTCAACCCCGAATCACTCCACGAGTGCAAAAGGCTCTTCGAGTTCTTCAACATTGAAAGAATAGAATCTGCATAAGGATCGCCTACGACAATTTGAAGATATCACACTGGTGTTCGGATCACCTGTCCAGACTGAGTGCACTAAGGAACGCTGTTAAGATTAGGACAAGTCTTTAAGAAAGAGCCATGTTGGCTACATAAGAAGCTGTCATCATAGGTGTTTTTCGCTACTTACGTGGTTGTTTAATCTAGATTAATACTTGACTCAATTAATTGAGAAAATGACCCAAATGATACTTAAAATTTGATCCGATGTGCAATGTGATCTTTAAACTTTTAATTTGTTTAATGTAGTCTATGAACTTTAGCCCAATATGCAATATCGTCCCTGAACTTTTAATTTGTTTAATGTGGTTATTGAATTCTGATATATGTTCAAACAAATCTCAGAACTATACATGCCGTCGCTGGGAGAGGTTGGCCTCGCCATGGCTAGTCGAGGCTCGAACTCGCCGGATTGGTTCTAGTGGGGGCCTTGCTTGGGAGGCGAGGAAAGGCTCGTCTTCCATGTGCGCGAAGACACAAGCATGCAAAGAAATGGCATGGCAACCTTTTGTTGGTTCGTTCTCAAAGAAACCATTGTGAGAGATTCTGGATCGAAGTTTGGAGAGGGGCCGACTCGAGTTTGGTGATGATGATGAAGAGTACAAAGAAGACGATGTGCAAAGCTACAATGGTGAGGATTTAGGAGCTTCGCTCCTGAAATCAAGAGATCAAAGAAGATGACGGCCTAGGTGAGTGCGACCCTCGCCTGTGGCAAGTGACCTTTGCCAGCCATCGCCCAGCCCTAGCCACCGATGGACGAAAGAAGATGAAGAAGGAAAGAATAGGAAAAAGAAGAAAGAAGGAAAAGAATGAAAGAAAAGGAAAAAAAGGAAAAGATTTAGAAAATTTTAAAAAATTTGCAAAGCGACGTTGATCATTCATGTTAGCTACCGACCATGTCATGTAGGACGATTGGTGCTGATTGGATTACCATGTCAGCGTTTTCTGGCCTAAATTGACCGGATGGACTACATTGAAAAATTGTAAAAAGACTTAGGATTAAACTAGTCAAATTGAAAAAATTTTGACTATATTGGCGGTCGTACAATAGGTTTATGACCTTTTAGACAATTCCCCAAAACCCTAGTCGGATTTAGACTTTATCTTAGGAAAATTAATCAATTAGATTAGATGGAGTTTGTTAGCATGAATTAATTCGGCTGTTGGGGTGACAATATGAGACATGGATTCAAGAACCTCAGAATTTGAATGAGAATCCTACTAGAAATTGGATACATTATCATGCACGATCCCCTAACTTGGCACATATTAAAATAATCTAAGAATCTCTAAATGCACAAATGACGTGCTAAATGAAAGATAATACTTCTAATCCCAATTTAGAAACTCAACTAAATGCCTAAGTGATGCAAAAAATTAATGCTTAATTAGAAATTTTGTTGAAGTAAAACGAATTTCAATTTTTTGAAAATGCGCGAAAAATGATCTTGGGCAAATGTAGGTGTCCGCACTAGTTTTAAATATAATTTTTTGGATTATTTTGGGTTGGTCATGTTGTGGCATTCCAAATGCCACATCAAATGGACAAGGCCTTCTGATGTTACTCAAAAGCAAAAACTCCGGCAAATGGTTACTATCTTGAGTGGTCACGCCGAGTACACCTTTTGGAGACTTTTTGTTGGTGGAAAGAAAGATTCCATTTATTTTTTAGAATAATACTCGAGAGGTACATAGAAGACTTTTAAGTCTAGCAAATCCCAAATAACTGCAGAACAAAGCAAATGCCGGTGCAAACACCAAAACACAATCCGCAGTTAGAAGCACACTCTCATCCCTTTTGGAGACTTGACTCATGTGAAATAAATAGAGCGTTAACAAATGGTATTAGAGCAAGACTCGCTTTAATGGATGTATGGTTCATGGACAGACTATGCTCATAAACACTTCGACGAGGTCAAGGGTTGTTCTTGGGATAAGAGGGATTAGACAAGGTGTGACTTTTGGCAGGCTTTTGAAACGAAGGAGGGATAGGAATTAGGGGACTCACACAGAGAATCACTTGGCCAAATGGTCACTACTGCTTTTTTTAGTTACACTGAGCGCTTCTCTTGAATGCTTGATCTAAGTAAAACACATGATTGTCACTTAGTGTTAATCATAATCTCTCACATTTTAGATATGCAGTTATAACAAGACTCACATCATGTAGTTTTCCCCCACCTAATGGCTACAACTTTTAGGATGAACTATCTTACACGGTATCAAAGCACAAATCAAAGTACGAATCGGAACTCCACTCTCAAAGACATTACCCATGGTGGCTTCACAACATATGGCTCGTACAAAATCGGAATCATGCCAATTTCATTTTACCCAAGTCGAGCTGTACGAGTATAAGGGATCAACTTACATGCGATCGAGGGTGTCGACTGTAATCTCACATCGCTTAAGTACGCAATTACGATGTTTCTTCTATGCACGTAATCTCTTTCTATCTAACGACTTAAATTTTGAGATTGACATTCTCGTATGTAAGGCGACGTCAGGTCGTACAGGGCGCACTCAATATGTCCATTCATCATTTTCCCGAGTTCGTTGGACCAATTGATTATCCTGGCTTTGCGTCCAAAACGAGACTACCCGAAAGATTAAACCTAACACGAGACACAAAGCATAATTTGGAAAGGAAGTAATCAAAGTGATTAGGAAAGGGAGGAAAAAAGAAAAGGTTCCCATGGACAAGTGGGTGACCAAGCCATGTGCGACCATGTGGTGGTTGGCCCTCCCCGGGTCCACAAGCCCACTTCATCTCTCTTCCTTGATAAGGAAAGCAATTTTGTTCTTGCCCTTTTGTTCTTTCATTTTTATATAAAAACTGTTCTTTTCATCTCTCCATCATTCTCCTTTTTCTTTTTCTTTTTTCTTATATTCAAAACTATTCGGAATTTACCCATTATTGTATTCATCGTCCGGCGACACAAGCGCAGAAGCCTGATCATTTGGAGACATAAAAAGTAATGTGCAAGCTCTGTAAATCAATTAAGTCCGGGTTTAGTCTCATCGGCAGCCCTATCTTAGAGCACTTCGAACGCGATTGCTGGGTGTGAGCGGGTAATCTGAAGTGCATGAACCGAAAATCCCTTAAATCACAACCCCTCTAGTTTTTTAGTGTAATATGGTGGAAACTATATGAGGCTCTATGTTGTACAAGGCCTTCATATTAAGCGAATTATATTGGAATATGAAATCGTATTTCTTTATAATTACCTTTACCTAAGTGAAAGAAAGCCCAATAGATAACGATATTAGCTTTCCATTTCTTTTTATCACTACATCACATAATCGTTCACTTTCATCGAGTGACCACCTACTTCCCATTTCAATTTAACCGCCGCTTTATTCTTTACCTAAATGTGATGGCTCAATTTCATCCCCTCGCATAGCAAACTAGCTAGTCATAACTAAAGGAAAACAAATGTCGAGTTGAATAATTCATCCACATATGTATTACATCCCCCTAAGGTAAAGTGACATGCAAGTATGAACTAAATACACTCTTATTTAGTACCTAGGAAAAGTGTCCCTTTGCAAAATTCACCATCCGAATATTTTTTGCATGCATACGTCACAAATACCACAATGCTAAACATATACTTAATGTTCAGTGCGCAAAATAATAAAGCTATTAAGGACTTAAAAATTAGATTATGAAATTGATTTATTATCAAATAAGATGCCAAGTTCTATACTTGCGAACCCTATACAAGGTGCAGATATTCTGGACATCTATATTTCGTATCTTTGTGATTATACGAATAATTTTCGTATTTAAAATGCTATCCTCCCCCCGACGGCGTGCTTTTCACGCACCTTTGGATACGGGCAATCACACACGTCATCGTCTTTATGCTAATGATGATATGCAATGAAGTCTTAAAATCTGAAAATCTTGCTCTCAAAGTCTAAACTTCTCTTTGGACCGTCCAATTTCAATCCTCTCTCTCTCTCTAACTTTTGGAATACATCTGTTCGTGTCAGAATGTGACTGAGGTTTTCGCCTTTTGTCCTTGCAAGCAAGAATGACCCCTCTTGTGTCAGAAACAAAATCCCAACGCCCAATCTCAGTTGATCCTCAAAGTTAGTTGTTTGTACTAGGAATGGTTTTCATGGCCACCCTCTTCTCCTTCTTCACCATACCCTAGAAAGTCTTGGTCTCTCTCCCTCAAAACCCACTGTGGTCTTGTTGAGTTTCTCAGGGATTTGCATGGCCTCTATGACTCCTGAGGATCCAGTGACCATGAGCCCTCCTCACACACCTTCTCTCAAAACCAAGATCTCTCGCCGGTTTCTCGAGACCCTTGTGAAGATCAGGACGTCATCGTGTGAACTGGCAACCGGAGGTAATATCGGGAAACGTGCCCAGAGGATAAAGATCGCCGCCTACTCAAGCATGGCTCGTGCGGCAGGATCGAGGAGGGGTTGGAGCCGAGCCCTTCTTGCGAAGCTACGGAGCGGAGCCAGGCGCCGTCGCCATTTGCAGATCCGAAGATGCTTGCGCTTGAAGAGAAAGAGAGCAGGCTCCAGAAATATGGTGCTGGATGAGGTGAGCCGAGCCGATGAGCTCCGGCGGCTAGTCCCCGGTGGGAAAGCCATGGATCTTTGCAACTTGCTGGAGGAAACAAGTCATTTCATCCAGTGCCTCGCGACTCAGGTTAAGGTCATGCAGAGTATAGCGGATCGGTACTCAGTTTAAGGTTTTATTCGGGTCAAAATCTACTAATGGAAAGAAAATGAATGGTATACATGATATGGTTTACAGTTAAATGCTAAGAGAGAATCATGGTGGGTTGATGTTGAGACATGTAAAGGGTTCACAGTTAGCAGGTTTTACTTCTCATGCACATATAAATACTTAAAAGGATACGAGGGAAAAAGAAGGATATCACTCCTTTTGTAGATTGATTGAAGAAGATACAGAGAGATAAGAGGAAGCTAAAGCTTCACTTGTAGAAAGCAGATAATTATCCATATATCTCTTAAATTTACTCTCTCTCTCTCTCTCTCTCTCTCTCTATGATTGAACTCTGTTAATGGATTAATGCATGGAGGAGTCTTGCAGGTGTGGAAACAATCTGTGATTCTGTTTGAAGTCTGTTTCAGATGGTATGTGGAGGTAAGTCAATCATGCTGGTTCTCTCCATGCTCTTATAATAGATAATATGTGGGGTATTATCTGTAAACTAAAAAGAATAAATAAAACCTGTATTATTGTGGTTCTGATTCATTAATCGTTTGTGAAAAAAAAAACAATTAGCAAGTGATCAGAACAATTTATTGCTTTGGCTGTTCTGGTTTTTGCCATTTATTTCATTTTGCTTTAATAACACTGATTTATCTAAGCTTTAATTAAAGAGCTCTGTTTATTCCCTTTTGGCATCTCAATATGCTAACCACACATTTCTCTTAACTTGCAATTTTTGTTCACAAACATTTTTTTCACAACGAAAAAGAAAAAATGGTCGTGAAGAAGGGCTATGTACATAATGCGTTGAATCGTCATTCAGACATCATTTCATCCAAGATGCTTACTAAACATATATTTGAATCGGATTTAGTAAATATCATTGGTCATTGTCGATTTATTGCTTAGACGACATTTCAAAACATGGCATTAGTCCTATAACATCATCTATCTGATTGTGTCGTCGATTAATACAAATAATAAAGGCCAATTGAATTCTCTTTTAAACTTATAATAATTTCTTTGAACTTTTTATTGTTGTTGTCCCGTAGTTTTTTGTTTGAGTTCATTTACATATGTGTAGATTATTGATCTTGATGCAAACTCTATCTCCACATTAGCGGATTATGCATAGTAAACATATCCATTTGTAGTTTAGCCTTTTTAAGATGTAGACCATAAATTTATTTTTAATTTTTTTGTATATTGCACGAAAAAATAACGATAAATTTTATAATTAAAATCAATCCACTTTTACACGTTTTTTGGTCACGAAAAACAACCAACATCATCCTTACAATTTAGTTATCGATTGAAGGATATGATAATCCACACAACTTCTTTTGGAAAAGTAATTTCTAAAACAATTAAATGTTAGAGGTAAAGTAGATTAGAAAAGCATGAGTCTTTCCGTCCAAGCTTGACTCTCGAGCAATGGAAGAAGTTTCGATTATGATTTTTTTTTTCTGGTAATTACGATGTAACAAGGTTTCAGAATCATTATCTCTCTCCAGAAAGAAGGTCAATGAGCCAGTCCAAATTTTTTTTGTCCAGAATTCTATTTTTCAGCCCCAAAAGTAGTTATTTTTCTCCGTGCTGGTAAATTTCAATAAGTGTCGATAAGTATCAGAAAAACCGCTAGTTTAAAAAAAAAGGGACGTTTTAACTTTTTTCCTAGTAAAATATTGCTAACTTACCACACTTTTACAACGTTATCAACTTGTTTTGATAATTTGTGAAGTTGTTAATTTAGCAAAACTTTTGGTTTGGTAACATGAAATTATCAACCTATGTTAGACTGATTTATCAACTTTTATCAATTTAAATTATTAACTAGTATGAAGTTGTCAGCTCTCATTTGAGTTGCTTACCAACATTTAATGATTTTTATTGATTTAACCAACTTTTCTATTGAGTTGTTAATTTTTAATTCCTTGGGTTATCAGCTCTCATGTGAGGTACTTACCAATATGTATTTGATGTTTTTATTTCTTAACATTTTCATCTTTTAAAAATTTTTGTTTGCATTTCTTAGTAACTCTTATATTTACCAACTCTGTTTTATTTATCAATCTTAATTAGAATGACTCACAAACTTTTCTCTAATCAAGTCACCAACTCTCATTTGAATTAGACCAATGTCGTAAGTGGTCCCCGTTTTTTTTTTAATTGAGAACAAAATTGCAAAGTTTAGCTACCAAGAAACAAACTAGTGGAAGCACAATAACATAGATGCCCACGTAAGCTTGTGAGCTTTGACGCCCGAAGGTGAGTGCTAAACTAGGGGCTTAAGGCTCCCACTTCACGAGTCATGACCACCTGTGAAATGAGCTGAGTCAAGTCCGCTTACTACTTGCGACTTGCAAGTAGCATCGGCTTGTTCATCCCATATCTGTCCTCAGCTCCCTAGATGCAACCTGGGGTTTTGAGTCGCAGGATGTGTGCATAAATGTGTCGTGCTAAAGTAAGAACACGTGCATACACCGCGTCTAATTGCAAATATAAACGTTCATCCCTCTACCACCTACAAAACAAAGGTTAGCAACTACATGACCATTTAACATGATCCTTAGTAATGTATCTTAAGGTGCATACAATAATAAAAAGATTACACAAAACGGCATAAGTCCTCTATTTGGTTTTAAACCAGTCCCCAAATGGAATAGCCAACTTGTCGCGAACCTCCTGAAGTGGGACTCAAGGAGGTTGATGGCTGACAAGATAGCGCTTGTCCCTTAAGTATAAAGAAGGCGCAGGCCGCGTTTAAATCCTCCCAGATTCGGCCAGCGTCACAACATGGATTTCGTAATGTATGTCTATCTAAAAGTCGCCACTAACCTATTCTAAGGTCTGTTATGAATCTATCAAGATCTAGTGGTGATGTGGGAGAAACATCTCAAACCTAGACTCGAGCCACTGGTCTGCATAAACTAGAGATTCTAAGTAAGGGGATTTGATTACATTAGAACACCCTTGTGTCCGAGATTAGTACTGCTTTCTCTACGAGAGGCCTTTTGCTGTGACCCTCAAGTCTATATGGAGGCACTGCCACCTATTCGTTTTACGCTAACTCTCGAGTTTCAATTAGCAAACAAGAAGCACGAGCCTATCGAACAATAGGAGGGTGTGGGTCCAAACGTCAACGAGACATGTAGAACTTGAATCTAAAAATGCGTCCGTTCATCATGCAAAAACTAGTGAACAAGTCCATGCATTCGTTGCTCTAAGCATGCAGGCACGCAATTCTACGCTATTGGAAAACCAACCGCTCTGGCCGATGGCCTTTTACAACCCCATGAAAATAAAACAAGAAGCGAACAGTATGTTACATGGCTTTGTCTTAATCCTCTGGACATCTCAACCCCGAGAATGTCATGTAGCTGCGTAATCAGAGATTGGACAAGAAATCACATGAATATGAACCACGATCAGCAACTCACTTGCCTTGACTTTGGCGAAATCGGAGAAACTATACCGAACCGGTCGCGAACCTGAAGTGATGTGTGCTTCAGGTCTGTTTTGGCAGAGAGGAAATGTTCTCTTCTCTCTCTCTCTGTTTCCTCTCGTGGCTCTCTCCTCTTCTTCCATATTGTCTTGCCACCTTCTCATTTTCGGCCAGTCTTTTATGCTCTCTCTCTCTCCCTTGCCAAGATTCGGCCAAGACAGGAATGGCATGACTTTCACATTGATTGGCAAGAACCCGAGATGAGCAAGAGAGAGGGAGGCTCACGTGAAGCTGCACTTGCTCGGCCATGGCCCCAGGTCAGGCCTCGGGCCATCCGTGGGCTTGGCTCCGTTTGGTTGTGGGTATTCGGGCCCTCCTCCAAACCTTATTAATCCTTCAGCCCGGGTCCTCCATATCCACCACAGACATATAAATAAAAGTTCTGAAATTAATCAAGTGAAAACACAAGCGATGGTTTAAGCGTGAAGGGACAAAACCACAAAAAACCCCAAATTATACTTACCGTGGCATATTTACCATAAATTATTTTTGTGACACTAAAAACTCCAAATTTTTACTCATATGACACATTTACCACCATTAGAATTCCATGAAAGAACACCGTTAAAAGTTCTATGTGGCTGTTGACGCCGACGACGGAATACAAACGGCACTGATGTGGCATCTAAGAAGCAAAACGGGTTGTTTTACATCTGACGCGGCTAAAGAAATATAAAGGATATCGTGTGTGTCTCTCTCTCAGTAGCTTCTCGTTCAAAACTCCATCCTCCATGTTCAAGAGCTCTCTGAGGCTGTACCGTCTACACCTGCACGAATGAGTCCTTTCTTTGTGCTCTGTCTCTCTCTCACTTGCTCCACTTGAAAGATCCATTGCTTCTCTCTCTCTCTCTCTCTCTGAATTGAAAAAAACACATTTGCACCAAATGTTCATGCTTGAGATTAGATGTCATATGGAGAAGCTCAAGCTTCCTGAGGCCCGAGATGGGCAATGAGATTCCTTGCAACTCTTTCATCATAACTCTCCTTTGTGTGACTCTAGGAAGGTGAAAAAAGGAAGAAAAAACCGTGAGTCCCCAATGCAATTGACACCCTCATCAATCCATTTCCTCTTTTCTGCGATGATGATGGTGCGAGAATAAGATGGCCGGGCAGCTTCCTGAGCAGTTTTGATTTTTTGAAATCAGATCATCACTCAGGTCTGAAACATGAACTCCGCTCCCCATTTATTAAATGGGTTTGATCTTGAAGGTTTCAATAAGTTTAGGGCATCACCTCTCTTGTAAGTCCAAATTCAGTTAGCATATCGGGTCAATTCAAATGTAATTCACAATTGGACCAAGCTAGATGAAATTTATTTAATGCCTATATGTTAAACAAATAAAATGTTCGTAATGCCTAAATGCCTAAGTGCAATGTAGAATGTGAATGCAAAGTTATGTAATATCTTTGTTTTTGTTTAAAGGTTGGGGTCGATTCTTTATTTTCTCATGCAATAAATGACTAAGTGGTATAGCAAAAATTTAGATGCCAATGTTGAGGCATTTGATTAATGAGTCACAAAAATATACATCATCTGCGTGCAAACATAACTGGACGCAAATGTAGATGATGGCGATATCTATAATTCACCAAATCAAAAGACTGATAAGCAGCCCTCCAAGCAATGATAGAGAAAAATATGAGTCTTTCGAAACTAGCTAGAGGGAGGTCTTTATTAATAGTTTGAGCAAAACATAAGGGTGTCCTTGCAATTGCCGCAACTAGAATCTAGAAAATGAATTACTTAATTTAATGGATATACTTGAATTCTAAAACTAAACCTAAGTTCTTCTAAGTCTAATCACGATGATTACCATGTCTTAATCTCTCGTGATAAGGACGAGGACTACGTAAGGAATATACTCCATCACAAGTCGGTTCGATCAATGATCAAGAATTTAAGAAAAACCAAACATAGCCGTTCTCCTTATACCAAGTCTTCATGCCATCAAAATATAGACCAACAACGTGTGGACAAAGCAAGACAATCCCTTTCGGCAAAATCCATCTTGTGAGCCAAAAAATCATCGAAAATATTTACTTCTCTTGCAAAGCATAATCCCTGCTAATTCTCTGTATAAAGCACACGAACCATCGTTCTCTCTCATGGCTAAGAACTAAGCATAACCCTCATATTAGAGAGACTCTCTAGTATCACTCGAGTGTGTCCGTCATCACTTAGACAAAAGAAAATGGAGGCAACCGATAAGAAGGCGGTCCTTCTGTTGGGATTGATGGTCGTGATTGCTTGTTCCGCCGATGCGCAAACCATATGCAATGCGCCCTATTCGGGCTTGATCGCTTGCGAGCCGGCTGTGATGCCACCGGACCCACCGCCCCCCACAGGCGTGTGCTGCGATGCGCTCTCGCATGCCGACATGAAGTGTCTCTGCCAGTTCGATAACTCGACACTCTTGCACTCGCTTGGGATTGACCCGAAGCTAGCGCTGCAGCTCCCCATGAAGTGCAAGCTCCCTCATCCGGCCCCCTGCTGATCACGTTGTATTATGGGGCATGTGTGTGGTTGGAGAGAGTATTAGCCTAATATTTGACAATAATGCATATTTATACAGTATGCTTTTTTATTATGTGTTTAATTTCTGTGTGCTTCGTATGATTAAGACAAGAGTTCTTGCTCACTATACCTATGCCAGATTATGAATTATCAAATGATATCATAGAAGTCCAATGTGTGTGACGCGCTCTCTCTGTTAGCTGGCGAAAACTAAAGCCAATTATAAGACACCACATGTCATATACACTTGGCATCATGTCCATTCAAACTTTGAAGTTCGAACATTGTGCCACCAGTTACCAAATTCACTGGTCAAATAAATATTGCCCAATGAAATCAATCTAATGCAAACTAACAATTATTAATTGAAATTCAAACTAAATTGGATGAGTGTCACAAGTTCAAATTCAAGAGAGATTGGACGATTTGCTACACGTCCAATTCTAAGAGAGATTAGATATTACAAATTCAAATTAGATAAGAAGATCTATTATAAACTCAAGATATTAGATAGTCTCTTAAAATGGTCTCGTCCCAAATAAGATTTTTTAGATTTGATAAGTGCAAATCTTATCTGTTTTTTTTTTTCAAGACTTAGATGTAGATAACACAGATATCTATTTAGTTGAATATGACGGTTTCCTCTGCACATAGCTCTTATGTATACATAAATATATGTGTAAATAAATTATAGCAATTTTCAAATAGATTGGAATCGGGTGGATGTATGAAATGTAAAGTCAATGTATCTATATGTGGATATCTATAGGAGATCATATAAAAGAGATATTCTCATTTTAAACCTAACCAATTTGATCTAACCAATTAGATGAATTACTCCTAAAGGGTTACATCCGAATTATCAGTGAATAGAGGGCATGCATTCTATTAGAGAAATATTTAGAAGATTCCATATATTTCCTTTAATTGATTGTAATTGATATTTTCTCTTTTAGATAGTCATCCTATAAAACTGATAAATAGGTTCGTATACTCTTCATTTGACAATGATATATATATTTCTCTTAATTTTTTTTATCACCTTCTTGACTTGGTATTGGAGCCCTATTGTTATTTGAGAAAGCGTCCATCGAGTCTTTTTGTAACAACGACATCCACATCGGTTGTGTTTCTCCATAGTGTTCGTAACACCAGTCAGATCGGCCCATTTCGCAACAACCTCCCGTAGTTGTTTGACATTCCTACGCTGCTCTAATGAAAAAAAAAAAAAAAAAGAACATGACCAGACTTGCCGCCCTTAGACGAATTAGATCATGACATTCACTAATTCATCAAATATGAGTAATATGTCATTGTATATAAAAGTGTAGAATCATATCTACTCAAGGTTCCGAATCGGAACATACGTGTGATGAGAAGCCTCCACAAATTCTCCAGCTTCCACCAAGGCCAACGCCTCGCTTTTATGGGTCACAGCCACTGATCAAAGGCATGCACTCTTATTCTTGCAGTCTCCGTGGTCCTCGATTTCTTTTTCTCTTTGTGTTTCTCTTCCTTATTCTTTGCTATAGACATAGTTTCACAAGGCGCGGTCACTATTTGGGTCTACAAGCTCTCTTTGCATGGCCTGTGGTGGAAGTACGTCAAGCATATTTGCAAATTGTCTGTCGTTTGTTCTCTATTGCTTTTTGTAGTGAATAGTGGAAATATTTGGAGTATTTTTTAGATGGGAATGGACGCATTTTCAAAAAGTTTGGGATGCGAGAATTTTGTTGATGTAAAAATCGAGTCAGTCCAACATTAAATTGACAACTTATACCCGGTCAAATTGAGTCAAATTAAGGTAAAAGTAAACAAAAGTTCAAAATATCATCTTTCGAAAAAAATTAGCTACCGACCAATCCACAGTTTTCAAATAAATGAAACCGTAAATTGACCATATTATGAGGGGTGAATTCTCTACATTTTCAGATGAATTAAAAATTATAGGTGCATGAGAGACTAGTAGGCAATAAAGAATATAATGCCTACTTTGGATGAGGCCTCACTGGACAATAATGGTTTTTCTTCAACACTCTTTTAAATATTGCAGTCGCAACGTCATCAACAACATAAGGTAATTTTCTCACAATAAATTAGTTTTTCGTACTTAAATTTTTTGCCAAATGTCCAATAATGTTAAAACTTGAGATTTCTAATCGTGAGAGGACCCATTTCTCAGCCAAAAAAAAGTCATTTAAACATAATTAGAGTTCCATTTGTACATAGAGACTAAGAATTTTTTGATTGTATTTGAATATTATTCTCTTAATAAATCAAAGCTTGACTTTTTTTATCAAATCTAAAAAGTCAACTCTTGGTCAATACTTCATAAAATTTGTGAAAATCATAAAAAGGTATCAATTTCGTCCTTACATGCATAGTTAGGCATTTTATTTTCAGTCTTTTATAAAAACAATCGAAGGTTGATTTTTCGGTCAAATTAAAGACTTTGACCATTCATTAAAATGTTTTTTTTAAACTTCATTAATTTGATTCCATTTTTAGACATTTGATCAAGGGATCGCAACAATAAGAATTTAAGCTAAAGTTCGATGAGCCTAGGATGGGATGGCCAACGTTCGAACACTTAGGACTACAGTAACTTTTCACAATAAAGTCAAATAGCACAATTTAAATCCCACTATGCAATTCTACCTTTTTTCTCACTTCCTAATTTCTCTCTTCCTCTTAAGAGCTCTCTCTCTATCCATGGTGATAGTTTGCCCTAGAACCCCCTTTTCCAAAAAACCTTAATCTCATACAACCCTCACCATGCCCAGATCAACCATCCTCCGCAACAATGGAGTTCCTGCTAACATTATCCATTCGCCCCCAATTCCACAGCCCCAAACCCTAATATGAAAAACACCTCCACCGTTGTCCCTTCCAACATCTAAGATAGAGCTCCCTTCATTCCCTCTACGGAACCTTCCAGATCTCCATATAAACAACTTATTTTCCATTTCAGTCATCTATCCAGTCGGCATTCTCCACTCAGTCTACGATTCAAGAGAGAACCAGGTGCTAGATGTCGACCAAACTTGTGGTAAGTTCACTGTCGCCCAGCTTCGAGGTACTGCCTTCACCTGCTATTTCTTTCTCCATCCCAGCAGTGAGCATCCTCCAGTCTCACGGGATGCCCTGCTCGCTTTAGTCACAATAGCCTTCAGTTGATTGGGGAGATTCCCAAGAGGTCTCGTAGTAAGGTACTGGTAGTAGGTGGTTTTGCTATACTTCTCTGCTGATTTGCTGTTAAAATGGAAAGAATTTCTGAGAATGAGCTAAGAGTGGCAGCTCTCATTAAGAGGCTGGGTGACCTCTGGTCAGAGGATGATGTAGTGGAGGTAGATGAAGAAATTCCAGAGGATAAGCTGAAAGAATGTCGACTCACCTTATTTGGGAAGCTCTACTCAAAGCCCAACGTCAACTTCCAAGCCTTTCAAAGCACTATGAAGAGGGCATGGAGATCTGACACAGTAACCTGTGGCCAAATTGAGCCAGGCTTCTTCTCCTTTATCTTCAATTCAGAAGCAGAGAAGAAAAGGGTCTTGGAGGCGGGACCTTGGTCTTTTTCCAGCAACTTATTGATCCTTAAGCAATGGGAACCAAATACCCCAGTGCATTGTTACGACTTCTCCCGTTGTGCCTTTTGGGTCCACTTCCTTGGGATCCCTATTGAAAGAGTAACAGAAGATATCATTAAATCTATGGCATCAAAAGTGGGAACAGTGCATGAAGTTAGACTAGATGCAAAAGCAAATGGGTCACTCATCCTGGGAAAAGCAAGGGTGGAAAAGGAGTTGGCTGCACCCTTGAAGTCAGGAACATTTATCAATGTGGGGGGAAAAAAGATTTGGGTGGACTTCAAATACGAACGTCTACCTCACTTTTGCTATTCCTGCGGAAGGATAGGCCATTATGCTACCTATTGCAAAATCGTGCCATACGAAGAATCTGGATTGGAGAAAAACATTAAAGGCAAATTTGGACAATGGCTAAAGGCAGAAGTCAGGGAATACAGCCCGTATTGGGAGTTATTCTATGGGGACCAGCTACCTATCATGGAGGAGGAGGAAATGACCCCCGAAACTCCACTTCATGACCACCTACCAATAGATATCTCAACAAAAAGAAAGAGCAGTGTAGACATACCCTATGAGAGTGCACCCGATTTAACCCCTACTCTGGAAATCACTCAACATTCAGGAAAGCAGACTCAGCTATTTTTACTGGACTCCCCAAGAGAGGAGGTAGGCATGGATGTACAAGAAGGGTGGCGGAAGAAAGGTAAAGCGGGGAAAAAAACCCCTCCTACCAAGAAACTAAGGAGGTACAACCCATATGGATTGGGTAGCACAAGCTCCAAGTCTCTAGACGAATCTTTCTTGCTGGAAACCCCTATTCATATGGCTGAAGACAGGCGTGAGTGGGCTGTGGTGGCTAGCCCTAATAAGCCACCGGAGATTAAATGAAGCTATTGAGCTGGAATTGTCAGGGGTTGGGCACACCCCTGACATTCCAGTCACTGCGAGCCATTGTGGCTCAAGAAAGGCCCGTTATGGTGTTTTTGATGGAAACTAAAAATAAAGAGATGATGGTGGATAGTATTCGTAGGTGACTCGATTTTCAGCATTCGAAGGTGGTGGAACCGAGAGGTATCGCCGGGGGCTTAGCACTCTTTTGGAATGATGAGGTTTCCCCAAACGTAGTTGCCAGCTCGGCTGAGTTTATTGACGTAATTTGCAAAGAACCGAGAAGCGGGACAGCCATGAGACTCACTTTTCTGCATGCTTCTACTAATTTCCAGGAGAGATTGCACCTATGGCAACATATGAGAACCATACATTACTCCAACCACCTTCCTTGGGTTTGCCTGGGTGATTTCAACGAAGTTCTATACAATTGGGAGAAAGAGGGAAAGAGAGAAGCGGATTACTACAGACAAGTTGCTTTTCGAGATTTTCTATATGACTGCTCACTTTTGGATATTGAAAGTAAGGGATGTGCGTTTACATGGTCCAACAATAGAGAGGGGGTTAACTTGGTTAAAAAAAGGCTCGACCGAGTGCTCAGTAACTTAGATTGGAGGGTTTCGTTCCCAACTGCGGAAGCTTTTGCACTACCGGCCATTGGCTCCGATCATTGTCCAATCCTTCTTTCGCTCTACCCAAATTATGAAGCACGGAAAAAAGAGTTCAAATTTGAAGCTTATTGGGTGGATGATACAGAATATGATAAAATTGTTACCAAAGCCTGGCTAGACACACACTCCCAGCAGGGGGAAGTTGCAGCTAAACTAGAAAAAGTTACCAAGGCCCTATCTACATGGAGTCGTCAAAAGTTTTCCAATGCGTATCGCCAAATTGAAGATCTAAAAAAACAGCTAGTGGCACTCACAAATAGGAGATCGGGGGAATCTACCAAAGATAAAATTCGGGCTGTCAAGGGGAAAATCGAAAAGCTATGGAGGCAGGAGGAACTGTATTGGGGATTAAGATCTCACATCAACTGGCTGAATTGGGGAGATAGAAATACCAAGTTTTTTCATGCCACAACGGTGCAAAGGAGACAAAGAAATAAAATATCTATGCTGAAAATTGACGAATCCACGTGGAGTCGAGATGAGACAGTACTGAAAAAGCATATAACCGAGTACTATCGCTCTCTTTATTCCACCACGGGATCAAGGAATTTCCAACCAGTGTTGGATCAATGCCCATGCATAGTTGAGGAGAGTATGAATGAGGCTTTACTGGCACCAATGACGATGGAGGAGGTGAGGAACGCTGTTTTTCAAATAGCCCCAACAAAAGCCCCAGGACCTGACGGACTAAATGGCCAGTTCTACCAACATCACGGGAGCTCATTCAGTATGACATCTTCCAAATGGTCCAGAACTTCTTTGACTCGGGCTCGCTTGACCCAAAGATCAACAAAACTCTCATCACTTTGATCCCCAAAGTCCCAAACCCGAAAACATGAGTCAAGTATAGACCCATAAGCCTCGCAACGTCGCTATAAAATCATTTCCAAAGTCTTGGCAAATCGATTGAAACCTTGGCTCCCTGGAATCATTACCATGGAGCAAAGCGCGTTCATCAGTGGACGCCAAATCCAGGACAATATACTGATTGTACAGGAGGTTTTGCACCAATTGAGAATCAGGAAGAGAAAGAAAAAATTTCAGGCGGTTCTAAAACTTGATATGCAAAAGGCTTACGATAGAGTGGAATGGGATTTTCTGGGGGCTTGCATGCTAAAAATGGGTTTCAATGAGAAATGGGTGACTATGGTTATGAATTGCGTCTCCTCCATCACTTTCAGTGTGAAAGTTAATGGGGAACCTCAAGAGTACTTTCAACCATCTCGAGGCATTAGACAAGGTGACCCACTCTCCCCCTATCTTTTTATCATTATGGCTAATGTCTTGTCCCATCTTTTGCATAAAGCTTTGGAAGACGGCAGCATAAAAGGAATTAAATTGAACAGTTTTTGTCCAACACTCTCGCATCTACTGTTCGCTGATGATGCCATATTTTTCTTAGACGGGAAAATTAGTGAATGTCAGAATCTAGCAGGGGTTTTGAATCAATATTGTTTTGCAACCGGCCAAGCAATAAACTTGAACAAGTCAGGGATTTATTTTAGCAATGGCTGCCCACCTGATCTGAAGAAAAACATGGCCAAGGAGTTGAGAGTTCCTGTGATAGAAAAGACTGGGAAGTACCTAGGCATTCCTTCCGATTGGGGGACCTCAAAGAAGCAAATGTTTGCCTGGATACTGGCTAGGGTCAACATGAAATTAGAGGGTTGGAAGGAAAAGCTTATTTCAAGGGCGGGAAAGGAGACTTTGATAAAATCCGTAGTGCAAGCTATACCTCAATATGCGATGTCAATTTTTAAGATTCCCCTCTCCGTTTGTAGAGCGATTGAACAAAAAATAGCTTCGTTTTGGTGGAAACAGAATGGATCAAAGACGGGCATTCATTGGAAGAACTGGAAGGTACTCAAGTTAAGGAAAACGGAGGGTGGCCTTGGATTCAGGGATCTCATAACATTCAACAAAGCCATGTTGGGGAAGCAAGCCTGGAGACTAGTCCAATCCCCCTCAGCCCTATGGAGTCAACTCATTAAAGGACTCTATTTTCCCAGAGCTAACTTTGGAACGCTAACAAAGGCTCCCGACCATCGTGGGGATGGCAAAGTTTGTTAATGGGGAGAGACACCATCTACCCATCAATCAGATGGGTCATTGGCAATGGGAAATCAATCAGAATTCATGAAGATAGGTGGTTACCCCAGGGTTTGATCGGAGGACCAACTAATTCAGAAGACCCCCAAAGAGTCGAAGAATTGTTCGTTCAGGGAAAGCAATGTTGGGATGAACAGAAACTAAATTCTCTTTTCAGCGAGCATATAGTAGAGGAAATCACGGCTATACCACTGAGCTCTACTCCCAAAGAAGATGTGTTAGTGTGGGCAGGGAATAAAATAGGGAAATACACTGTAAAAGACTCCTATAACAGAATGCAACCATCAGAATATCAGCAGAATCACAACCAGGCCTCCTCCTCGTATCAATTTCCCAAATCCTTATGGCAGAAAATCTGGAACCTCAATACCATGCCAAAAATCAAGCACTTCATTTGGAGTGTGTGCCAGAATAGCTTACCAACTCGTGAGAACCTGTGCAAGAGAACAATAACGCCAGATCCCCTTTGCCCTGTTTGCAGCCAAACCCCTGAATCAGTGGAGCATCTATTCTTACTTTGCGACTGGACAAAAGCAGTTTGATCAGACTACCGACTGCAAATACAGATCTCTCGCTACGGAATTACTAGAATCGACAAGTGGCTGTTGGAAATTTTGCTACAAAATACAGACTTACCGTCACCTGAGCTGGTCGCCGGGGTATTGTGGAAAATTTGGTTGGCTCGAAACAGAATCATCTTTCAGAATCGAAGTCCAGATCCAAGCTTGATAGTCGACGAAGCATGTGCCTTAGACAAAAACTTCAAGCGTTGGAACCCCAAAGTGATCAACAGAGAAAAGCGAAAGGGGAACTCACCTGTTTCGTGGACTCCTCCAGAGACCGGCGGATTAAAACTAAACATCGACGGGTCAATCGTCGAAGGCGAGAGGGTGGGTGCCGTTGCCGGGATCTGCCGAGATTCTACTGGGAGAGTTGTGGGTGGTTTTGCTAAAAGTGTGGTAGCCTCCTCGGTGATGGAAGTCGAAACCCTAGCTTTGCATGCGGCTCTATTGTACTTAGAAGATGAAACTGATCTGTGGAAAAGCAGAACTGATATGCAGAGAAGTGTTGATCTGCACGTGGTGGTGAGTTCTGACAGCTTATCTTTGGTGGACATCATAATGGGCCAGACTCCGGGCCCGTGGGAGATTCAGGCTATCCTTGAAGAATGCAAACAAAAGCTATCTCGGTTAAAAGCTGTGGAGCTTGTCTACAACCCACGCGAATCAAATCAAGTGGCAGATTTCTTAGCCAAAACACATCGCAAGAAAGCCCTACCGCAAGATTGGCTTGTAAAACCGCCATTATCTCTACGGGATCTTTTATGTTCAGAAACCCATAACTTATGTTATCCTTTTGTTAGTTAATTAATGAAACATTTTACTTTTTGACCAAAAAAAAAAAATCCCACTATGCCAAATTAATTCAATTTCAATATCAATTTGTGCACAATTTGGATTATTCGAGGAAATAAACATAAAACAACGAATCAGGACTGACAAGGTCAGGCTAGGTTAACTCGGTTGACTTGACCTGATTCAGCCCAATGGGCTAAACAAACGAAGTAAAACAAGCTCATGGATTAATTCAAAGACAACTAAGGCAATGGGAAGTCTAGGTCAACCCAATTTGACCAAGGTTGACCCAAGTCAACCAAAAAGTCACTAAATTCCAACCCATAGACCCATGGCCGGCCCCCTCTCCCTAATTACCAAAATACCATTTTCCCAAATTATTAAAATTAAAATTCTATATCATCAATCCTTAATACCACCAATCTTAGCCAGTTATTTCCACTATAATCTAGACCTTAGGATGTGCCATGTCACCCATCCATGTGACATTACAAAGGCCAATCACCTCCTTCCTTACTCATTAAGCAAGAAACTTCAATCATATGATCACAAGTTATGTTGTAGGACTAGGATTAATTCCAAATTTGATTTTTTTCGTCCAAAATTTCCCTCTTAACTCCTAGGACCGATTTTTTATTTTATTTTATCTAATTTAGCCATTCTTATAAAAAAAATTTGGAGAAAAGAACTCTCTCTAGGAAGAGCACAAAAGAAAAACTCTCTCACTCTCTTCTTGTCGGCGTCTTCTCACTGGCAAGGTTCTGGCTAATTTCCGACTCCATTCCAACGACGACTTGCTGGATCCTTCTTGCAACTAGCTTCCCTGGCTGGTCCTTGGCGTTGTCGTGGTGGTCATTGCCTCCAATAGTCGCCAAAATTATCTCAATTCAACCAATTCTCTTGATTGTTCGCCGGTGATCCCAAACAAAGGTAAGAGCTTAAGTGTTTGTATTAATTCCGAAGGATTATCCTGAGGCACTTAGGTTGATCTTAGTATAAAATTGTAGTAATATCTTCAATCTATGATCAATCCTAAATTAGGATATGATTGAATTTGTTGAAATTAACATCTAATTGATTATAGAATTTGGATTGTTTACTAAAATTGAAAGTCAAGTGCAAGTTTGGTAACTTTAAAACGTCAATTCCTTGCTGGCCTTGACTTCCTCAAGTTAAATTTGATGTGATTTTAGTTGATTGATTGTTAATTCAAATAGATCTTCCATGTTTAGGTGTTTTAGTTCAATGATCCTTAGGAATTAGGCCTTAATCCAAGCCAATTGAACTTTAATAGAATCAATTCATTTGCTACCTCTAGTTAGCCAAGTCTCATAGATCACATCAGCATGACAAATACTATGTCCGTCGCAGGGTGCATCGAAAAGGGCAAAACAAGGAAACAATGTTATAGTGTAACAATGTTATAGTTGCGGTGTTTGAATAGATAATAACCATTAAATTGTGCTGTCTATAAAATATTGGGCTAATACCCTAAAAAAACCCCAAAACTTTAGCTCCGGTTCAATTCTACTCTAAACTTTTTTTTGTCTTATAAAAAACTCCAAACTTTAGGTTCAGTCTCAATTCTACCATAAACTTCTTTTATCTCATAAAAAACCTTCATCTTTAGATCCAGTCCCAATTCTACCAAATTTTTTTGTTAAAAAAATCCAACTTTAGGTTCAGTTCCAATTTTATCCTAATTTTTTTGCCTCATAAAAAATCACCAAAAAATTTTACTTGAGTCCTAAATCTACTCCCATTAACCCTCCGTCCAAAATCGCCCTTAATGATCTTACATGTCATTTTCACATTATTTCTCTAGTTTTTTTTTTTTGTCAAATTTCATATCCAAGAAGACATTTTTTAGAGATGAATTTCCACATTAGCCCAAACAACTTCTTCTTGGATTTGAAATTTGGGTAAAAAAAAAGAGCAATTGGAGTTGGCTTTCTTCAATGGCTTTCACTCTTGAGAGATTCTTCCTTCCATCTTGTTTGGAGATCTTCGATTTTGTGCTCGGTCTTCAATCTCTCGTGCTTAGGAGTGTTACATCTCTTGTGGTCGAAGAGCTCGCTCTTAGGACACTTGGCTCAAGATGCTTGAACAGCTTGTGCTTATGAGTTTTTCATCTCTCGATTGTCAAAGAGAAATTTTGGATGGAGGTTTAACAGGGGCAGATTTGTGATTCAAGTAAAAGTTGATAGTTTCTTATGAAATTGGAAAAACTGAAACTAGACGATAGAATTGGGACATGACCTAAAGTGGAAGTTTTCACGGGACAAAAAAAAATTTTAGAATAGAATTGGGATTGGACTTAAACTTGAGGGTTTTTTATGAGACAAAAAAATTAGGGTAAAATCTGGATTGGATCTAAAGTAACATACAAAACAAAGCTCGGCAACAAAATACAAAACAACAACCATGCACACGGAAGTGTACTTTTCGAGCATATAACAACAAAATTAGTTGAGGTTTTCTTGGAACCCATATGATGGCCACCAGCTCAAATAAAAGTTGGCAACGCAAACCTAATCAGTAACTTGAGAAAAGTTGTTAATCTCTCTAATTGACGTTGATAGTTTCTAAAAACTAATTGATACAATTGAAAAGTTAGTAAACAAGGCAAAGAAAAGTGGTAACCCAATAGAAAAGTAATAGGAGAATCTTATGTTTTTTGTTGGAAATAAGATAACTTAATATTTACAAAAAAAATCAAATTAATATTGGTAACTGAATCAATAGGAGTAGGTAATGCAAACTAAGTTGCTGACTTAGTTGGAAAAAAAAATAGTTATCACTCTAATTGAGGTTGGTTGACTAGTTTAAAAAATGGGCAAGCAAGACAAACGAAAGTTATAACATAGTCGGAGAAAAGTGGGTTACTCTGATTGAGTTTAGTGATTTCTAAAAAGAATTGATAAGATTAATGATGGGCAAGCAATGCAAACAAAAGTGATAAGTCAATATAATAGTTACTGAACCAAAAAAAAAAAAAACAATTCAAATGAGACTTGATAACCTAATATTAGTCGGTAAACTACTAATTACATCTATGATATTTTAACAAGCTATTATGAAATACACTTTTATTATTAATTTTGGCACTAATAATACAACCTAAAATAAAATTTAACTCTTACAATAAGACAAAAGAGTCTTACCTAACTTTTGGTGCTTCCAATAATCTATCTTCAAATGTCAGCTTTCTCATGGCTCCATGTACTACGCCGTCAGACCCCCCATTAGACCGTTCGGTAGATTGAATATTTCGAGCTGCCGGTTCAAATTTGTCACCTCCAACGTAAAAGAAAAGTACAGAAGAGCAACAAAATTGCTGACCCCAACACAAGGGCAACGCAATCCCCAATTTTGACGCGAAATAATATCATGTGTTCTTTATTCGGATTATGTGTCACGCCGATGTGATATACCGATAGTTGAAAAAGAAATTACGATGAGGTGCACGTGATTACAAAGAAATATGACTAGGAAGAATGGTCTCTACAAACCATTTCGAGCACCCCCGTCCACGCAAATCATAGTCTTCTATATTGCCGACATCAGCAATGACAAATGATAAGCTTCTATAAGAAACAAATTTTCATAAAGATGACAAATTTTCAAATGGATGACATCCATTGTAGCGTGCTGTCTATAAAAGGTTTCACAGAACGAACACAACAAAACAACAAAACAACAACCGTTCACACGACGGTGTACTTCTTCCCGAGCATATAACAAGATATTGATTTGAGGTTTTCTTGGAACCCACAAGACTCAATGGATTCTCAGTCTCAATCTCGTGGCCACATAGTGATGCTACCTTTCATGGCCCATGGCCATCTCATCCCCTTCCTCGCCCTCGCCCGTTGCATCTGCCGCCAAACCCCCTTTGTCGTCACTCTCGCCACCACTCCCCTTAACCTCCGGTACCTCCGCTCCACCATGACCCCCTCCGACGCAGACTCTGGAATCCGCCTCTATGAGCTCCCATTCTGCAGCTCCGACCACGGGTTGCCCCCCAGCACTGAGAACACCGAGAACTTGCTGCTCAATCAGATCGTGGTGCTTTGCCATTCATCTGTGTCTCTCGCTGCCCCCGTAGAACACCTTATCTCCGACATAATTACTGAAGAGGGCCGGCCACCTCTGTGCATGATCTCGGACGTGGTCTTTGGGTGGTCCGTGGACATCGCCAGGAGACTTGGGACGAAGAGCATCGCCTTCACCACATGCGGAGCATACGGCACTCTGGCCTACGTCTCCCTCTGGCTTCACCTCCCGCATCGCTCCACTGATGCTGAGGAGTTCTCGGTGCCCGGATTTCCTGAACGGTGTCGGTTCCACCGCTCTCAGCTCCACCGGTTCATCCGAGAGGCAGACGCTACCGGTGAGTGGTCCAAGTTCTTTCAGGTTCAGCTCAAGCTCTCTTTGGCCTCTGATGGTTGGTTGTGCAATTCATTTGAGGAAATTGAGCCTCTTGGGCTTGATCTCTTGAGGAAGTACTTGAGGCGCCCTGTTTGGGCCATTGGTCCACTAGTCCCTTCTCACATGCTTCGAAAATCATCACCAATCTCTGCCGACTCAACACTAAAATCCCTCCAAAAGCGTACGGGAAAAGATCTAGGAGTGTCCCTAGAGAAATGCCTAGACTTCCTCAATTCACATGGTCCAAACTCTGTTTTGTACATTTCCTTTGGTTCACAAAACACTATAAGTCCTTGCCAGATGATGCAATTAGCCTTTGGATTGGAATCAAGTGGCAAGCCTTTCATTTGGGTCATTAGGCCGCCGCTCGGTTTCGACATTAAAGGTGAGTTCCGACCTGAGTGGTTGCCACCAGGGTTCGAGGACCGAATGACCGGGAGCAAGCAGGGTTTGCTGGTGCGGAATTGGGCGCCACAATTGGAGATCCTCTCGCACGACTCGACGGGGGCATTCCTGAGCCACTGCGGGTGGAACTCAATCATGGAGAGCCTGAGCCAGGGGGTGCCGATCATTGGGTGGCCCATGGGGGCCGAGCAGGCATACAACGTCAAGATGATGGTCGAGGAGATGGGGGTTTGTGTGGAGCTTACTCGTGGGTACGAGAGCCAGATTGATGCTGAGAGAGTGAAGCAAGCGATCGAATTGGTGATGGAAGAGGAGGCAAAAGGAGGGGAGATGAAGAAGAGGGCCAGTGCAGCGATGCTGCAAATGAGAGAAGCTGTGAAAATAGGCAGTGATGATGAGAAGGGGTCTAGTGTCGAGGCCATGGATGAATTCGTGAGGACCATTTTGGGTGTCTCTACAAAGTATACATCCTCTTCCTCTTGAGTCAATCATCACTCAGAAAAGGTCTGTCAAATTATGAAGACAAAACTAGAAAATCGAGTCACTTAGCACATGTTAATCGACTCGGATAGATTCTACAGGTGACAGTCATGTCCTCAAGCCATAGAACCGAAGGATAAGGATTTTGCTCTTTCTTGAATGCAGCACTTTTCATTCAGGTATAATCCAACCTCTATGCTTTACAGTTCTGTCTTGAAATATTCCGCGTGTATTAAACAAGAAAATATTCTTCGCGTCTAATACTTACATCATGTGCCTGACAATATTTACGAAGTTTTGAGGTGCGATAACTTCCTATGTCATAATAATTCATATCTAAAACTGTCGCCGGAGAATCAGAAATAGCTTTAGCCAACATGAACCCTAAGTGAAAAATTCTCGTCTTGTCGTCAGATCGGCAAATGGAATGGATTTCTATTGACGTGTCCGCCATGAAACACATTCGGATTACAGCAACCAACCAAACTGCTAAGCTTTTCATGCTCCACTGCCACTCATTTTCTGAAACCTAATTCGGAGCAAACATAGCGGTCCAACATAATTGAAGTCCCAAAAATTACATTTACTTTGGTCCAAATTACATCTGCGTTGTGTAATTTCTACAGGTGATCCAGTTGAGTTACAACAAAATTATGTAACCATACAATCCGTCCAAAACTAATCCGACAATATCCAGGAAATTATGTCAAATGCAAAAATTGAGGAAAAGGACATCACAAGTGCCCGACGCTCACGTCAGTGCCACAACATTTTTGAGATCATTTGAGTGTCACTTTGTTAAAATCAATCATTTCAGTACCATCGGCGATGTGTGTAGCCGGAAAATCCAACGTGACAATATTTTAACATAAACCGTACGACGTAGCTCGCCGGGTAAGCGAAGTCGGCAAAATTAGTGCTAGAAGGTTCGTTTGGTTCATTTGTTTGCCCCAAATTAACAAGCGAACCTGCTAACGTTTCTCTGTGGCAGTGAACTCCACACATCTCCTGGAGGTGGGTGGGGGTTCTCTTCCGTCTCCTTCCTCTCGTATGTTGCAATTTCAATGTGCTTGAGCTTTCATGGAATCACCTCCTCCAATGTCCGATTCTCACACCACAACAACCACAGACTCAACTCCACTTCATCTCCGTTTCCAAACCCCACAAAGCCCTTGAAGCAGCCTCAACTCAAAGCTCTCGTCCCAGCCACTATACAAAGAATGGCAAGTTCTCCGACCTCGTCTGCGACATCGTGGCTTCACCCGCTGTCCTCCTCGTCCCGAAAGCAACAGATTGAAAGTCAAGATCGAGAGAGAGAGAGAGAGAGAGTTGTGTGTGATATTTGTTCCTTTTTTTGTTCCAAGGTCTTTAGTAAAGAAGATCAAGACCAAGACAAAGAAGGAGGAGGAGAAGAGAAGGTATTTTTTTGTTTTTGGTCTGGAGAAGAGAAGATAAATTGGTAAGTTAATTGGACCATTTACCTTGTCTTCTTGTCCTTTGTCCACATTGGACATCAAATTTTGTTTCGAAAGCCATGTAGGAAGTAAAATTTTATTAATAGGACGAATAGCGAGAGTTTACTGTCGAAGACATTTCAGTGATCGATTTTTCATCAATGTGGCACCCAAGTAATCCCCAAAAAAAAAAGAAGAGATTTGGCACTGACGTGAATGTCGTCTGAAAGTTATGACACTTGTTATGTCATTTTCCCATAAAAATTATGTCATATAATATATAAAAAAATCCCAAAACTTAAATCTAGACAATAATTTTGTCAACGATGCCCTTTTAAATTATTTAAGGGCACTGATGTAGATCTGTATTCTTTAGAATCCAAAGTGTATAAAGTTCAATATTTGTTCTGCCACTTTAGCAGATATGCTCAAGTTAACGTAATTTTTTATGATAAAGATATCGACTTTGAAAAGACAAATTCCGAACCCTGAACTCTCTTTGTTAATCTCATACACCTGGAATATTCTTAGACAAATTCGGGTGATCAAATGATCCAGACTGGAAATTATTTTCACATATGACCATAAAAACTTGTGCCATTCGTGCACTCGTCTTTTGAAATTTTCACTTTGTTCATTTGAGTTCTAAAATTTACAAAAACAAAAATTGCACGTAGAGAACTCTGTCAACTCAGTCAGCTTTCTTTGGATATAAAGTCCCTTGCGATAGTTTTTTTATGGTATTTGTTATATGCTGTTTGACACCACATAGGAAAAGCACTGAAAATTTAAGAAGAAAAGATTAAAAGTCAGAGAGAGGAAGGCACCGAACGAGGGTCGTCCAGCCTTCTTATGGTGGCGGCGAGCAAAGGGTCACATCACAAACCAAGATGACTGAACTAAATCAAAATGCAGTACAAACGACTCTCGCACGCAAAGGCTTAACTTGTCTGTTCTTTATACAGATGTAAAGACTCAGCTTATCAGCAGTGTTGAATTTGATCTCATGAAAAGATAATTCTTACACCACCATCCATGCATAGGCATTTGATGATGGGCAATATCAGATAGTCCGGCGCATTTCTTGGGTTGATTCGCCTATTTTTGTGAGTGTTTGAATGTATCATGCTTTCTTTCTTTTTGTATGTCCATTGCAGTAGATAAATTTATCGGCAAAAGCTACCAACAATCATAAATTATGCCCAATGTGACACATTTACCGTAAAATATTTTCAATGACACAAAAAATCCCAAACTTGTACCTGCATGATACATTTACCTTCCTTCAAAGTTCTGTCAATGAAATCCGTTAAAATCTGCCTACATAGACGCTAGAAAGCAAACATTGTTGACATGACATCTACATTAATTAAGTGAAATAATAACGACGTTGTTTTGGTTGAAAAATCACTTGACGGAACTTTGACAGGGGTAAATATGTTGCATAGATATAAGTTTGGAGTTTTTTACATCACAAAAAAAGGTTTCGAGTAAATGTATTACAATGGGCTTAACTTGGGATTTTTTATGTCATAAAAAAGTTTAAGGTAAATGTCTCACAGTGGGTAAATATGTTGCATAGATATAAGTTTGGGTTAATACCACGATTCCGTTAGTTTTTGTTGAATTTTACCTTTATTGAGTTAGATGTCATGTGGCAGTAGACAGGTATACCAGTTTCAGGTTTTACCCTTCCGTTTGTCACGGATTTACCAGTTTGTAATTATTCATGGTATTAATCCAATTTACCGGAGGGTATAAGTGTACCAGTTTGGGGTTTTTGGTAGTTAAAAATTAGTTTTTGGTAAATTTGTCACAAGTGTATCAATTTGTGATTTTTCGTGATATTAATTCTTTATCTTTTATCCTTTTTATTTTTCCAATAAACACATCCACTTATATACGAGTTCTATTTATCAATTGACATGCGTACGGTGACCACATATCGTTATTTAAACTCATAAGTAGTTGATAGATTAAGGGCTCTTGTTGAAATGAATCTTTCAATCTCCATAAAATAGTATAAAGTTTAATTATGTCAACACTAACGCGTTGTATATAAGGAGAAAAGAGGATCGAAGGATGGGGAGAGATCTTGACTTTAATTCCTAAGGAGAATAAAGGATCGAAGGAAATGGATGGAAGACACTACGGGAGGATGGAGTTCCCGAGTTCAAAATTTTCGAGACTTTTTATTTACCTTTGAATCAAATTGGCACAATCTAATCTTAGACCAAATGTGAATCTTTACGTAAGGTAGAGTGTTATGACATTTAAATAGTAAAATATATTTTTCTGTAACAATTAACAATCTACTTATAAAAAGTGATGTGGGTGTTTCAAACCGTTTTCATCGAATTTCATCTTTTTTCATAGCTCTATTTACTACACCGCCCAAACCCACGTCGGAGGGTTAGGAAGAACGACCATTTTTGAGCTGCCAGTTCAAGTTTATCCACCCAAAACAAAATAGTAAAGACACAAAGGGCAACGCAATCGCCTATCTTGCCACAATTCGTTCACAAAATAACATGTCCGACGAGATTGCCGAAAAAGGGAAAATGTAAAAGGACAGAATGTCTTGGCCATAGTGGCAGTGTTCAAGTGGATGACAACCATTGGACTTTTGCAGTCCGTGATAGCTTTCCCGAAAAGGAACAAAACCAAGCACAACAATGAATACAATCCAATCATGAACCGCACAATCAAAACTCTTCGTACTTTTTGAGCATGTAACAACACCACATTGAGTTGAGGTTTTCTTAGAAGCAACAAGACCCGATGGATGATTCTCGATCTCCATCTCATGGCCGCATAGTGATGCTACCTTTCATGACACATGGCCATCTCATCCCCTTCCTCGCCCTCGCCCACCGTATACGCTGCCAAACCCCATTTGTCATCACTCTCGCCACCACTCCCCTGAATCTCCGGTACCTCCGCTCCACCATGTCCACCTCCGACGCCGACTCCGGAATCGGCTTCCTTGTGCTCCCGTTCCGCAGCTCCGACCACAGGTTGCCCCCCAACACCGAGAACACCGAGAACTTGCTGCCCAATCAGATCATGGCTCTTTCCCACTCATCTGCGTCCCTCGCTGCTCCTGTAGAGCGCCTCATCTCCGACATAACCACAGAAGTGGGCCGGCCACCTCTTTGCGTGATCTCGGACGTGTTCTTCGGGTGGTCCGTGAGCATTGCCAGGAGGCTTGGGACAAAGAGCATCGCCTTCACCACAGGCAGCGCATATGGCACTCTGGCCTATATCTCCCTCTGGCTTCACTTCCCACACCGCTCGACTGATGCTGAGGAGTTCGCAGTGCCCGGATTTCCCGAACGGTGCCGGTTCCACCGCTCTCAGCTCCACCAATTCATTCGAGAGACAGACGCTACCGATGAGTGGTCCAAGTTCTTTCAGGTTCAGCTCAAAGCTTTCTTTGGCCTCCAATGGGTGGTTTTGCAATTCAGTTGAGGAAATTGAACCTCTCGGGTCAGATCTCCTGAAAAAGTACTTGAAGCTCCCTGTTTGGGCCATTGGTCCACTTCTCCCTTCTCACATGCTACAAAAATCATCACCAATCTCTCCCAACTCAAGATTGAAATCCCTCCAAAAGCATACGGGAAAAGCTCTTGGAGTGTCCCTAGAGAAATGCGGAGACTTCCTCAATTCACATCGTCCAAACTCTGTTTTGTACATTTCCTTTGGTTCACAAAACACTATAAGTGCTAGCC